ATTCACAGCTCCTAAGATTCCGAACGAACGCAGTTCGAATCAGATAATGACTCGAAAACAGACTACATACCGAGTTATTAAACATACCATGATGCCATCTCTTCAAAAGCAAACAACACGCCCCCAACGGGAGCACGAAAAGCAGCAGCGATTCCAGCAGCAGCACCACATGTTACAAGATCCCGCCTATCTCGATCCTTCTTGAGATGGTATAGCCATCTCCAAGTTAAACCAAATACTTTGAAACACCCCTGACCTACCAAGGATGCAACACATGCCCCTGTATGAACCATAGGCCCAGCTTTTCCAACGACCATAGATGACGACACGATAGCAATGCTGCCAATAATCTGCAATCAAACCATATTCATGAGACTCTGGCTTCAAGAGGAAGGACGTAACAACCCAAACCCATAGCTAGCAGATATTGTCCGCTTTGGCCCGTTACGTATCGCCGTTAGCCTCACAGTTTTAAAACATGTCTGCTATAGAGCAGTTTCAACACCCTTACAAGTAATGTTTCGTTCCCTTCTCCAACCGATATGGGATCTCACAATCCACCCCCCTTGGGGGCCCAGCGTCCTCACTGGCTAGTGTCTGGTTCTGATACCAAATGTAACCGTCCAAACCCACCGTTAGCAGATATTGTCCTCTTTAGGCTTTTCCTTTTAGGCTTCTCCTCAAAGTTTTTAAAATGTGTTTTCTAGGGAGAGGTTTCCACACTCTTACAAAGAATGCTTCGTTCCTTTCTCCAACCAGTCACAACAAAATGCTCTAAACCCAGACATGTAACTACCTATTACTCGACTCTATTCCAAAAAATTTTGCAAAAGAGAAACCATCCTAAATTACTCGACTCTTTGTTAAAGGGGCACTAAGAGTAACTTCAAACGTTACTAAATGACGATGTATTCTAAAACAGCAACAAAATCACGAATTCATATCAACCAAATGTGTAATCTTACTTGATGGAAATGAAAAGGGGCATCCGACGTTACTACACGCTTCAAACAAAGGAGCAACCCTACAACTAAAAAGTACAATAACGGAAGGAACACTCGGTTTGTCTTAACCAGGCGCTACACCTCAAAGCATAATCCGATCTAAAAACAAACAGGTTGTTCGTTCCGTCGTCGACCCTATCTATATTTCTATGATGACAGTAAGAAACCGAGGTTATAGATATCTGAAACACAACTATAAACGTTCAAAGAACTGTTTTACCTTCACTAACAATGTCCTGGGCGATAATATTCCGGGGGCGTCCACACCATTCAGATAAGCCTTTACTTCTGGTATACCTGAGCCGGCTGCTAGGGGGCAGATCAATGCCGTAATGACAGATGCGAATAGGGTGAGAAGTAGATTTGAAACAGAGAAAACAAGAAAAGCCATCCAATACCTGAAAGAACTTTCAGACTTCCATCAAAATATCTTGGAAAATGGATCGTTGTTAGCCTCACATTTTTAAAACGCGTATGCTAGAGAGAGGTTCCCTCTCCAACCGTGGGATCTCACAATCCACCCTCCTTAAGAGCCCAGCGTCCTCGCTGACACACCTCCCAGTATATGACTCTAATACCATTTGTAACAGCCCAAGCCCACTGCTAGTAGATAACATCCGTTTTGGCCCGTTACGTATCACCGCCAGCCTCACAATTTTAGAACGCATATGTTAGTGAGAGATTTCCACACCCTTATAAGGAATTCTTCATTCCCCTCTCCGACCAATGTGGGATCTTACAATCCATCCCCCTTGGAGGCTCAACGTCCTCACTGGCACACCGCTCAGTGTCCGGCTCTAATACTATTTGCTAGCAGATATTGTCCGTCTTGGCCCGTTACATATCGCCGTCAGCCTCACGGTTTTAAAACACATATGCTAGGGAGAGGTTTTCACACCCTTATAAGGAATGCTTTGTCCCTCTCTCCAACCAATATGGGATCTCACAATCCACCTCTCTTGGGGGCCAACGTCCTCGCTAGTGTCTGACTCTAATACCAATTGTAACAGCCCAAGCCCACCGCTAGCAGATATTGTCCGCTTTGGCCCGTTACATATCGTCATCAGCCTCAATGTCTTAAAACGCATCTGCTAGGAAAAGGTTTCCACACCCTTATAAGAAATGCTTCGATCCCCTCTCCAACCAACGTGAGATCTCACAATCCACCCCCCTTGGTAGCCCAGCTTCCTCGCTGGCACACCACTCGGTGTCTAGCTCTAATACCATTTGTAACAACTCAAACCCACCACTATCAGATATTGTCCTCTTTAGGTCGTTACATATCGCAGCCTCGTGATTTTAGAACACATCTACTAGGGAGAGGTTTCCACACCCTTATAAGGAATGCTTCGTTCCCCTCTCCAACCAACGTGAGATCTCGTAGTTTTTCTTTCCGAACTCAATGAAATCAGTACATCAATCATAATTCTACAAACCCATTTCCACCAAAACAAACAGAACAGATTGCAAAGATCGCAAAGATTTCAATCAACAGAAGCACAGAAGAACATGAACGAAATCAGTACCTGCCCTCAAGCATCATATTCGAAGTAACAACAAACTTCTTCCCTGCAATATTCTCCACCGCCAGATTGTTGAAGAACCCAACAAGACCCATAATCAGACCGATCAAGAAACAAGACAACCATTTAATAACCAAGTATTGAAATATCTGAAAATCCTCACGACTCCTCCAATCTTGCATGAAGAAATCATTATCAAAAATCCTGTAAAACACGAGACACAATGAATCAAAACAGAACCGAAAATCAAAACCCCAGACGAACAAAGAACTGAACTCACTCGTAATCAAGGCTTTCAATGGGGCAGATATTAGCGCCAACAAGGGCGACCTGTGAGGAAGAATTGACAAGCGATTTCTGAGGAGCAAGCAAGGGAGTGATAATGGATTCCTCATCGCCATTGCTGGGGTTGGCGGCATCCATCGACGAACTTCCTCTGACACAGAATTGTGATTTTAAACGAAATGGGTATCCAATTGGTTGACTGGATGAAGCCTTACCGTATCGATTCTATTGGATTAATTTGGCCCAAGCACTCTTTACTCGCCTCTCTCTTGTCTTTCATTTCCAAGAAGAAAGAATGAAAACTGACCATTTACTAAGTTTTAAATAAGAGAAAGACAAAAATAAATTTGGAACTTCCAAAAATCCCAAGTCTTGTTCATTACAAATTTGGAACTTCTTTCAGTATTCTTCGATTTGGAAGTTATAAATTTTTACCCATTCATTTAAATTGAATAATCACTAAGCTCGATTATTATTAATCAGGTCGATTATTAATCAGGGTTGTCAACAAATTGTTAGATAATGAATAAAAATAGTGGTAATTACAGTATAAATTGTCGATTTAGACTATAATTACAAATAGGAGTGATCGAGCAAAATGTATTATTGGATGAGTTTTACATAATCACTCAAACTAGTTGATACGTGGTATGATCAAATATTGTGCGAGAATAGATTCAATACAAAAGTACGTTTGAAAAATAATTATCTACCAACCCAATAAAAGAAATTATTTATTTATTTATCTAGACATCGAATAGATACCGACTTTTAAATTAAACTTTTCCAAAATTCTACTTTTTTTTTTCTTTTGTTTTTTTCAAATTAAAATTTATCCTTTCATGAATATAATATATATTTTCTTGTATCAAGAAAATTTTGATTGGTTTAATTATTTATAATTATTTTTTTTATAAAAAAAAATCGAATTATAATATATTTGAACATATGAATTTTGTATGAAAAAAAAATGAGGATGATTAGAATATTTGTAAATAAATGAAATGATTTGAATTTTAGGTTAAGTGAGTACCAAACTCAAGATGGTGGGTATTGCATTATGTTGATTGTGACCAACTTTCCTAGAGTGGCCTACTACATTGTATATCCCTAACATAGGCCTATGTATTTAATGCCTACTCTCCATTCAAAAAGTAGTCAATCCAACCTTCACGTCTCTTTCATTTAACGAGATTGATGAAATCCTTTTCGATCCTATTTCATGTCAATATTAGTAACTCGAGAAGTTTATATATGTAATAGCCCAGGTCCACGGCCAGTAGATATTGTCTTATTTGGGCTTTCCTTTCCGGACTTCCCCTCAAGACTTCAAAACACGTTTGCTAGGGGAAGGTTTCCGCACCCTTATAAAGGGTGTTTCGTTCTCCTCCCCAACCAATGTGGGATATCACAATCCACCCCCTTCAGGGCCCAACGTCCTTTTTCCAATCGATGTGTGACCCTCACCAAATCCATCCCCTTTGGGGCCCAACGTCCTTACTGGCACACCGCCTCGTGTCTACCCTCCTTCGGGGAACAACCTCCTCGCTAGCACATAGTCCGGTGTCTACTCTGATACCATATGTAACGGCCTAGGTCCACCGCTAACAGATACTGTTCTCTTTGAGTTTTCCCTTTCGGGCTTCCCCTCAAAGCTTTAAAACACGTCTGCTAGAAGAAGGTTTCCACACCCTTATAAATGGTGTTTCGTTCTCCTCCCAACCAATGCAAGATATCACAATATATGAGGCGAATTAGCACAAAAGAAAAGTAATCCAAATGTCAAAAACATTTTTTATTACACAAATCAAACGAATCAAAGCAAGACATTAAACCAATTGAAACTTAGAAGACAAAAATATGAAAGGTAAGAAATCTCTATTTGAAGTGGGCAGAAGACGGGACGGGTCGAAGAATTGGGTGGGGATGAAGATGGAAAATATAACCTCTACCCATTTAGAGGCGAGTCCCCCGAGTGCAACCGGGTTAAATGAATATCACTCGCTAAACTCTTACCTCCGACACTACACATTTATCACCAATTCTATGATGGGCAGTCATATATCATAATTTATTTCTCTTCAGGTCACTATCTCAAAAAGCAAGCACTTTTTATTTCATTTCTTTCATACCCTTTTAAAATTCATTGATATTTGTTGTGTTCTTATTAATAAAGGCCAACCATTTGAGACAGGAAGATCCAAGCCCGACGTTGTCGTGTCGGCAACTCATCCGGAATAGCGACATTCACAAAAAAGTACACTGATTAGCAACTCATCCGTCCATTTTCAGCTCGAGTTCATCGACGACACGTCAATTACAGCGCAAACATCCACTCACTGTTCTTCCCACCTCTTCAATTCTCTCTTTCCATCTGTATTCAATGTGTTCTTTTATGGGTTTTTGTTCCTAAATCCACTGAAGCTCGCAAAAAGGAGCTCTAATGGCGTTTGTGCTAGGTCTTGTGCTCGGTGTGTTTGTCGGGTTAGGTCTCATCGTCAGCTTCGTGAAGTCCGAGAATGTCCGGTCGAAGCGACGGGCTGATCTTGCTGCTACAATCGCTGCTTTTGCTAGAATGACAGTGGATGATTCGAAAAAGATCTTGCCTCCTCAGTATTATCCCTCTTGGGTCGTCTTTTCTCAGAGCCAAAAGTTGAGTTTTCTTCTCACTTTTCCTTGTGTTTCACTTGTGTATGAAGTTATTTAGTTTTCATGTTCATGGTGGATTAACATTGGTTCTGTTTCCCCATTTTTGCAGCTGGCTTGGCTCAATCAGCATCTTACCAAGATTTGGCCATATGTTAATGAGGTAGACTGTTTGTTTTTGTCGGGTTTTACTTATAATTGTCTGTTCTTGGTGTGTTGACGTGAGATCCCACGTCGGTTGGAGAGCGGACGAAGCATTCTTTGTAAAGGTGTGGAAACCTCTCCTGGTAGACGCATTTTAAAATCGTGAGGTCAACGGCGATACGTAACAGGCCAAAGCAGACAATATCCATTAGTGGTGGGCTTGGGCTGTTACAAATGGTATCAGAGTCAGACACCGGGCGGTGTGTTAGCGAGATTGTGAGATCCCACATAGGTTGGAGAGGGGAACAAAACATTCTTTATAAGGGCGTAGAAACATCTCCCTAGTATACGCGTTTTTTTAACACCGTGAGGCTGACGACAATATCTACTAACAGTGGGCTTGGGCAGTGGGTTTGGACTGTTACAAATGGTATCAGAGCTAGACACTGGGCGGTGTGCCTGCGAGATTCTAAGATCTCACATCGGTTGGAGGGGGTTTTTATAAGAGTGTAGAGACATATTCCTAATAGACGCGTTTTGAAACCGTGAGGCTGACGACAATACGTAACGGGCCAATGTAGACAATATATACTAGTAGTGGGCTTAGGCAATGGGCTTGGATTGTTACCAATGGTATCAGAGCCAGACACTGGACAGTGTGCTTGTGAGATTGCAAGATCCTACATCGGTCGGAGAAGGGAACAAAACATTTTTTATAAGAGTGTAGAAACTTAGTAGACGCATTTTAAAATCATGAGGCTGATGGCAATACGTAACGGGTCAAAACGGACAATATCTATTAGTGGTGGGCTTGGACGGTTACAAATGGTATCAGAGCTAAACACTGGGTGGTGAGCCAGCGAGATTGTGAGATTTCACATCGGTTGGAGAGGGAAACATAGCATTTTTTATAAGAATGTAGAAACTTCTTCCTAGTAGATGCATTTTAAAACCGTGAGGCTGACAGCGATACGTAACAGGCCAAACCAGATAATATCTACTAGCAGTGAGCTTGGACTGTTACAAAGGTAGGAGAGTCAGACACCGAATGGTGTGGCAGCGAGGACGTTGCCTTCCAAAGAGGGTGGATTCTGAAATCATATATTGCTTGGAGAGGGGAACAAAGCATATTTTTTATAAGAGTGTAGAAACCTCTCCCTAATAGACACATTTTAAAACTGTGAGGTTGACGGTTATACATAATGGGCCAAAACAGATAATATCTACTAGTAGTCGGCTTGGGCTGATACAGTTATCTCTTACTTGTTTGGTTGATTTCGTGTGACAGGCAGCTTCTGATCTGATAAGATCTTCAGTAGAGCCTGTTCTTGAACAATACAGACCTATCATACTGTCATCACTCAAGTTTTCCAGGTTCACTCTTGGCACTGTGGCTCCTCAATTCACAGGTTTGTTCAAGATGGAGATTGATGAGTTTGTAGTCTGTAAACATTATCTGAAGTTCTAACTGTCCTATTCTACTTGACAGGAATTTCTATAATTGAAGATGGGGGAACTGATGGTATCACTATGGAGTTGGAAATGCAATGGGATGGCAATCAAAGTATAATACTTGATATAAAGACTAGACTAGGCGTTGCACTACCCGTGCAGGTATGAACTGATAGACTTCAACTTCCATTATCGTCGAAGTGACTCGTTCTCTCACCCTTTGCAAAAAATTTGGTTAGGTCCGTTCGGGAAAGTACGTCATAGTTAATCATACTAGATCTTGTTTCTGTATATGTATAACTCACGTAATAAATCGAACTTGAGAGCTTCTTTTTGGTCGACTAAGCAATGGATGACCTCTTCTGAAAAAATTAATGGTTCAAGAATTAGATGATCTTTAAAGTTCGTATTTCAAAGTAAGTACTTTTACATATGCAAGATTGTGACAGGAAAGCTGTTGGATCCCACATCGGTTGGAGAGAGGAACAAAACATTCTTTATAAAAGTGTGAAAACCTCTCTTTAGTGGACGCGTTTTAAAGTCTTGAGGGAAAACTCGAAAGGAAAAGTCCAAAGAGGATAGTATCTACTCGCGGTGGGCTTGGTATGTTACAAATGGTATCAGAGCCAAACACCAGGCGATGTGCCAGCAAGGACACTGGGACTTGAAGGGGGGTGGATTGGGAGGTCCCACATTGATTAGAGAAGGGAACGAGTGCCAGCGAGAATGCTGGGCCTCGAAGGGGGATGGATTGTGAGATCCTATATCGGTTGGAGAGGAGAATGAAGCATTCATTATAAGGGTGTGGAAACCTCTCCCTAGTAGACACCTTTTATCAGCTAGCGGTAGGCTTAGGCTTAGGCGGTTACAAAAGCTCATTGATCTCCATCGTGCACTACATTGTTCAGGTAAAAAGCATTGGATTCACAGGCGTTTTCAGGTTGATATTCAAGCCTATGGTTGACGAATTCCCATGCTTTGGTGCAGTTTGTTTTTCTTTACGGCAAAAGGTATCCCGTAAACTCCCACTCATACTCAAAAGGGAAACTTCCTTATTGACAAAACCTAATATCTTAACAGAAAAAGCTGGACTTTACACTCAAAGTTATTGGAGGGGACATCTCAGCAATACCTGGGCTTTACAGTGCACTAGAGGTGTGATCATTAATTGTCATTATATTCACTGAATCACTGTTATAACTATAGAGCTTATATATGAACACAGGGAACAATTCGAGATGCTGTAGAAGATTCTATTACATGGCCTGTTAGAAAAGTTATCCCTATCTTGCCTGGAGATTACAGGTATGAGTATGGGAACTGAACGAGCCACAAGGTTGTCTTGTGGCCTTTGCTCACTACACTTACGAGCTTGATGGTCAACTTTAATTGTTTCAGTGACCTGGAATTGAAGCCTGTTGGGATATTAGAGGTGAAACTTGTGCAGGCAAAAGAGTTAACGAATAAGGATCTGATTGGAAAGTCCGATCCATATGCCGTGTTATACATTCGGCATCTACGTGACCGAATGAAGACCAGCAAAATAATTGTGAGTTATCTTACTTCTCTTAACTTTGTTCTCTCTTTCGCCTTTTGGATATACTATGAATTTTGATTGTTTCTTTTGTAGAACAATGATTTGAATCCAATTTGGAATGAGCACTTTGAGTTTGTTGTTGAAGATGAATCGACACAACATTTGGTCGTGAAGGTTTATGACGATGAAGGACTTCAGGCTTCTGAGCTTATAGGATGTGCTCAGATACGATTAAGCGAGCTTCAACCGGGTAAAGTGAAGGATGTGTGGTTGAAACTGGTTAAAGATCTGGAAGTTCATAGAGATAATAAAAACAGGGGGCAGGTAACAACACCTTTAATGAACATTTTGCTTATTGGTGTCAATACCATTTATATGTGTGAGACCCCACATCGGTTGGGGAAGAGAATGAAACATTATTTATAAGGGTGTAGAAACCTCTCCCTAGCAGACACGTTTTACAAACCTTGAGGGGAAGCCCAAAAGGAAAAGCCCAAAGAGGACAATATTTGTTAGCGGTAGGCTTGGGCCGTTACGAATGGTATCAGAACCAGACATCGGGCGATGTGCCAACGAGGAGGCTAAGCCCCGAAGGGGGTGGACACGAGGCGGTGTGTCTTGACGTTGGACCTCAAAGGGGAGGGAGTGAATTGGGGGTCCCACATCGATTGGAGAAGGGAACAAGTGCCAGCGAGGACACTGGGCATCGAAGGGGGGTGGATTGTGAGATCTCACATTGGTTGGGGAGGAGAGCAAAACATACTTTATAAGGGCGTGAAAACCTCTTCCTATCATACGCATTTTAAAAACCTTAAGGGAAAGCCTGAAAAGGAAAGCCCAAAGAGAACAATATCTGCTAGTGGTGGGCTTGGACCGTTACAATATGTATGAACAGTGTCTATTGTCTTTTCTTTTTAAGCGAGTCCATGCTCATCCTCGTTATACTAAATCTTTCTCGTACGATCCACATTCAACATTCTTGATGTTCTGCTAAGAAGAGACTTCCTATATATGATGGTGCATTTTTTTTGTGTCTTTCTGTTAAATGTGTTCATTAGGTGCACTTGGAGCTTCAATACTGTCCTTTCGGTATGGAAAGTGGCTTTACAAATCCATTTGCCTCTGATTTTCCAATGACTTCCTTAGAGAGTGTCCTCAAGAGTCAGGCAAATGGAACGGAAGCTACCGAAAACGGACAAGCTGTCACACCGAAGAGGAAAGGGGTTATTATTAGAGGAGTACTTTCCGTGACTGTGATATCTGCAGAAGACTTGCCTGCAACAGATCTTGTAGGAAAGTCTGACCCATATGTTGTATTCACCATGAAAAAATCAGAAATGAAGAACAAAACAAGGGTAAAACTCCGATACCCGAAATTATGATCCAAAACTATCCCTGTTTGCCATTTCCTTCTCCCTCTGTGATCTATAGTTTCATATTTCAGGTTGTGAATGAGAGCTTAAATCCCATATGGAATCAGACTTTTGACTTTGTTGTTGAAGACGGACTACATGACATGCTTATAGCTGAAGTTTGGGATCACGACACTTTCGGAAAGGTGAGGCACCGTTTTATTAAAACTGTCCATCTTTTTCGTCTCATTTCGAGCTAAAATATAGTTGTGACTGGCTTCACAGAACATATACATATACAGAATCTTTTAGTATTAGACCCCACATTGGTTGGGAGGAGAACGAAACACCCTTTATAAGGGTGTGGAAACCTTTTCCTAGCAGACGCGTTTTAAAAACCTTGAGAGGGGAAGCCCGAAAGGGAAAGCCCACAAAGGACAATATCTGCTAGCGGTGGGCTAGGACCATTATATTTAGCATGTCTTAATCTTTTAACTTGTTTTAGCACCTCTACTTCAGGTTGTAGTGATCTCAGTCTAACCATTGCAACAATCACTAAAGATTATACAACTAGAACCTGTTGCAACTTCCCCTTCACTAACATTGATTTCTTGGATCATTTAGGATTATATGGGCAGATGCATTTTGACACTTACAAGAGTAATATTAGAAGGGGAATACAAGGAATCGTTTGAACTTGATGGAGCCAAGTCAGGGCGGTTAAATCTACACCTCAAATGGATGCCACAGCCTATCTACCGTGATTCCTAAGCAATTCCCAGAACTGTAAACCAGTAAGTTGAGGATGTACAATACCTACTTCTCAGAGCAGATCAGTTGAACAATGAGTCTCACGTCTTGTATAAGAAATATACATTCTATTTTTGAGGTCAAAAATAGAAATTCTCACCCTATATGTCATTGAGCCTAAAAAATAAAATAAGATTCAGATTCAAGTTTCAATATAGCTAATAGGAACTGAGTTCAATAAATACAAAAATTGTAGATTATTCAGGAAGTTTAAGAATAAAAACTAACCTTATCTATCGCTGTACAATTATCAACTCAACTCTTCCCCAAGTATTCAAACCTCTTGGCCAATATCGACAATAAAACCTGTCTGCTTGCAATTAGCAATGTACTTCTCTGGAAAAGCGTACAGACAGAAGGAAAATTCATCATGTGTAGCCTTTTAAAACATCTCATATTGGTTCTCTTGGAACTTAAAACAACCGATTTCAGTTCAAAATTGCAGACAAGTCTCAGCTTTGAGTTCAGAATGGCATAGATCATCGGAAACTACAATGTTTCGATTTCCTTTCTACACAGAAGGGCTCTCAAGACTGTATAAGCTGAAATCAAAGCAATCTGCAAATGCTCACAGCTACTAGCTTTTATGCAGATCTGACCCATTTTACGTGTATTTAAGTTGGCATTAACTGACACTCTCATGCTTCGGCTTAGCCGAAACTCAGACTCCACGTTCCCACCCAGGATCGTTTCCTTATCGAAAGAGAGGACTGTCATTGTTAGACTGAGATGGTCATTCCTGACAGGGTAGTCTCTACCCCTTAAAGTAGCTTCTATGCTCCCACCGTACACCATTTGTCCCGCTCCTTCAATACGACCACCACTGACTACAAACTTTACTCTCTTGCCTACAGATATGGTATCTTCAAGCTTGGCCCCATAATAGCAATTTCTCTTGATAGATGTCAAAGAAACTCCAATTCCAGGAACGTTGTGCTTAATGCTACCCAGTTTAGCATTGCTATGAACAGTGTACATCCTATCCGTACCAGCAGATTGAACATCTAGACCTAAAGTGTAAGATGATCCCCGTGAATCTATGTAAGAAGCAGCACACTCAGATTGAATGTTGAATACCTGTTTATCCTTGCTCACCTGTCCAGTGACTGAGGTAAAAACATTTTTGTTCATCTCCATGGCTGTTTCCAAATTTATCCCATCAAAGCCAACGTCATGATCCCATCCTTGTGGGTCAAGAACAGGTCTCACAATCCACTGATCGTCTACTGCAATGCAACGATATCTGTGAACAAAACAATCTGAGTCAAAACTGGGTGGAACGGCCATATCTGGGAGAAGAACAGCCTCTGCTTCCGGCATTGCCTGCAAATCACCATTATTATCATTGTCTACCAAATCTCTATCATTTAAAAGTTTGACCTCCTTCCTCCTTCGATACTCTTCTCTCAACTGTTTCTTTAAATATAGAGTCTCCCTGTAATCCAGCTCATCTAAGTATTCCTTTTTCTGTGAGTTCGACAATTTCTCAAATTGGGATTTCGTTAAAATGCGAATCGAAGGTAGATCATCATACTCATCTTCTTCATTGTCACTGAGTAGAATAGCTTCAATGTCATAGTCCACACCTGATGGACTTGACATACCTCGGGGCCGTAAAATAGATGAGAGTAAGTGGGGAAGTGAAGGCAGCCGGGTATTAGCCAATGGCCCTAGCTCAATGCAATTTTGAAATTTCAGAAGGGCATTAATGCTGCCCAAAACTTTGGTACAAATGCACAACAACAAGAAATGTGATCTCCAGACCTGTCCATTTGGAAGGACTTTTTCCCCCATAATATTTTTCTTACAGTGAGGATGGTTTTCAACCAAAAGGACGGGATTTTCAAGTCTAGGGTCAGACAATGCCTGGTGAATATTTTGCTGCAAAATCTCTGAGGAATGGGCCACATATGATTCAAAGGAGACGGGATATCCATCAGGTCCTTCTGGAAGAGCCGAGGAACAATGAGTCAAGACCAGGATGGTGTTGAACCAAATTGCAGAACCAAAGACCTCACTTATTTGCTTCATCAGAAGGTAATCAGCATGATTCTTATTTATGACGTCAAGGCGCTCAAAGTACAAAACAATATCTGGTGGTGATTTTCTTATGTATCTCTTCACAGAAACCATAATTTTCTTATTTCTCTTCATATTTCCTGAGGAACATTGTGAAAAACCAGGGGTATCAATGATGGATACTTTAATCCCATTGATTGTTCCCACAATCTCCTGAATACGACCAGTTGCTGGTTGAAATGCATCAGTGTCAGTTTTTGCTTGATCAAAGAGGGAGTTTATTGTAGCACTCTTTCCAACTCCGGTTTTTCCCAGTACAAGTATTCTAAATGTGAAGTTTGATTCTGGTATCCCAGCTGCTTCTTGTTCAGCTGCTTTAGCGCTGGCTTTACCCCTTCCAAGGTTTACTTTTATGAGATCTGATTCCCCTACTTGTATCAAAGTGGCTAAATGTATTCGGTACAGAACCTTTTCCACTAACAAATTGTTTTGTGTCTGGCCGATTCTCTGTAGAAGTCGAAAGAACTGAACTTGGAGGTCCTCAAGCTTTGTCAACACATCCATCTTTCCCCTGTTAGAGCTATGTTGAGATTGGGGTGAACTTCCACTAGGAACCTGTTCCAGTAACAAATCATCTTGGTTCTCCAAATTCTCACCAGAGTCTGATGTATGAGGGGCACTGGGTGTTACAATAGTGGTTGCTTGTACAACTACAGAAGATAATATTCTGTTATAATTTGAGAAGTTCGAAAAAGAAAAAAAACAGAAAAGTTTTATAAAACAAGTTCACATTCTTGTACAGTAGATTGTAGCTCAAGCAAGAGATACTAAGCAGCTTTAAAAGTAAAGAAGAAGTCTTCTGTAAAACCATTTTCTCTGATCAGTGACCAAATAGCCCCATCAACATTATATTTCTAAACCGTGACTAGTCATCGGAACAAATTGGTTGACATAGAAGAACATTAAGGTTTTGAAAGAAAGACATGAACTCGGACATTAAAAAAAGTTCAAAATGCTCGGTAGCTGCCTACATCTAGCCACAAATAATAGCAATGAAGCCAATACACCACCAATAACTCGGACTCCAATGAGGCCTGGGGTACAAGAATAAGAAATACCAGAAGATATATATGTTTCTTGAATCTTTACAGATGAGGAACATAAAGAGTTAATTAACTAACGAGTTAATGAAACAAATAATAACCAAATCAGGCAGGAAGAAAAAAATCACATGAAGAAAAGTATTGAAAAAGAAGAAATATAAATACTTTCTCAAGGAGATAATATACTTTACTTTTCTAAGAACAAAATGAATTCATAATCAACAAAGAACACAAAACAGGTGGGGGTTGGGATCAGCAATCCACCCAACAACCCAAGGGGGCTATAGAAAGTAATCCCAATTAGCAAAAACGCAAGCAACAGTGAGTTACAAAATTAGGGGTAAAGAGGGCATGAAAAGACCAACAATTAACCTAAATCCACATTCCCAAAGGATAGGCTTAATAGCATAAGACCAAATATTCTTGAATTTCTTCATCAAGGAGGAAGATAAGTAATCCAAACAAGCTATAAATTTTCTTAAAATCCATGCCATCAGCAGAGGCAGAAAATTTTGAATCTAAAACAAAAACAAACATTCATCAATTCAGACACGTACCTCCATCATCTTGGTCTTCATCCACGAGTTCTACATTTTCCTCACCAAAGAAACTGTCACTCCCCAGTAATGGTCTAGATGAAACCACTGACTTGGATACTAATTGAGAAAATAACCAGTCTCTAACCCCCTTCATTATGCCTGCAAAATATTAAAAAGTTATGAACAAAAATGCTTGAACTTCCAAATTGGCTACAGTAACAGTAGCTGAAAAACCCATGGTTCATGTGATTTATCAACCGATCATGCCCCATAAGTACACCAAATGGGAAGAAAAATATTATGAATCTATCTACTTAAAATGGCTTGGTTCACATGGGTAAGGATGTCAGACGAGGGAAAGACCCGATTGTCATACAACATTGAGAATGAATTGGAAGTTGAAAGGATGTTTACCTAGGCCAAACTTGATAATGATTAAATTCTTGTACGTCAAGCATGTTCTCAGAAATTACTCGATCCTCTTATTGTTATTACTGAATGCTCTTTTTGTGAGAGTAGTTCTAGAGAAAATTGGCTGCTGAATCACTGGCAAGATCATTCACAACACCACTGACAACACAATACAGAGCAACTTTCATGTGGTATCTCCTTCTCCTAGCAATGACGCTACTATTCTTTGCTAAAACACAGTGGAAGAAACGAAATCAAGGAGAGCTGGTTGATAAGTTATTGGAAGAGATTAGAATCTTGGTCTCAAATTGTAGCTATTTAGCTCCCCCCTTTTTGTAATTATGATAACTTTTAGATTCTTACAAGCTAGAGTGTTTTTTTTCTAATATCCTCCAAGGATTCTTTCCTTCTTTCCTTCATTTTTTTTTTTTTTTTTTTTTTTTTTG